ACAAGTAGTATAGCAGATGTCGATCTGGGTGGTCTTCAGTTTAGACCTATAGTATAGTTAAAATGTTAGGAAAAACCAGTAAGAACAAAACAGCCGGAGAACACTTCTGCTATAGGTTATGAAGCAGCATGAGGTTATAAGGTGGCGTGATTGTAGTGGATAGTACAGGATAGGGTAACCAAGAATATATTATCTAAATACCTAATAAAATCTGCCTTCTCGCGATATTGCGAAGGTATAAAAAAAAAAAAAAAAAAATTTTACTATATATATTCCAAATTATTAACTATACTAAAAGCTCTAATATTAGTATAAAAGAACTTTAAAGAATTTTAACTATATTGCAAACCTGCACATATCCAAAAATTGCAAATAAACTATACAAATGAAATAATGTACTACTAAAAATAAAGGTCTAAATATTATAATTTTAAAAAATATAAATACTAAAAATGACAATACTAACCATGACTTCAAAGTGATGATGAAATAACAAAGCTAACAAAAAGTCAAAGAAAAAGTTAGTAAGTAAAAAAAAGATAGGTAATACTAAAAATAATAACAGTGTTTCTGAAAGAAATATCAAAAATGATAATACACCAAAATCTATAACAAAACTCCAAAATCAACTCCAAAAAGGTGATTTCAAAGTGATATATACCAAAATTTATGACAACAAGATGCCAAAATAACAACTTCAAAAGAGAAACAATGCACTAAAATCTATAACAAGACACTAAAGGATAACTCCAAAGTGATGATATATTGAAATCTATGACAAAACATTAAAAGAATAACTCTAAAGTAACAATATACTGAAATCTATAATGACAAAATACTAAAATAATGATTCTAAAAGGGCAGCTCCAAAGCAATAATGAACCAAAATCTATAACAATACACAAAAAAAGCAACTTTAGAGTGATAATGTATCAAAATCTATGACAAAACATTAAAAAGATAACTCTAAAGTGATAGCAAAATGGACAAAAGCTATAAAATAAAAACAAAAGCTAATACTGTAATAAGAAGCAAAAAGCAAAACAAAAATTAAAAAAATAAAACCTGATCATATTTATGATAATCAGATTACACAACAATAAGATAGTGATAAATTATATATATATTATATGATTAAATTCTTTTTTATTTTAATTATTTTAAAAAATAATTTATTTTTAAAAATATATGCTACTTATACTTTGATTTTACAAATTTCTAGTTTCTAGTAAAAAAAAGTAATACAAAATATCTAAATCAAAAAATAAATACTTATCAACACATTGTTTTTTTTTTTTTTTAATGTTAAGATAACCACTTTGGGGTTTGGCACATTTTATTGAACTTTGGATTGAATGTCAGGGTAACTACATAGGCTACCTCTGACTTTGTTACATTAATTGACGATTCTCCAGTCAACTGAAGAATGATCATAGTAAAACGTGACGCGGTTCTATATATAAATTATATAGGTGCGAAAGTAGAAATTTTCTAGTGATTGTCCAAAGAAAACTTTTTTTCGTACTAAGTTAATCATCTTTGAG